CAACATTGTTTGGATGCTGCGTTTCCATTGGGGTTAGATGCAAGATGTCACCCTCATTGGAAGATAAGCTTTGGAGCGTCAGTTCAACACCATTAGGTACATGGGGCGTGAGTACATGGGGCGTGGGTACATGGTTGCATGGGACTCGCGCGGCACTCGCGACAGGGTCGAAAAGACTCGCGTGGCACTCGCGCCAGCCTCACCATGTTTCCTTTAGTGATCTTTTCCACATGAAGGTCATTAATGCACAGCTCTTGAAGAGCAAAGCAAGCAGGGCAGCATGCTGCATCTATGTTTAGGAGGTAATCTTCACCATAGTCCTAACCTTGCGTTCTGATTGGGGTTTGGTCACCAAAACGCTGCAAACTTCGACATCAAACTAGTTCTTTCCTGCACAGGGGCAGTGAATTCTTGATGTATAGCAGTTTTGACAAACATGCTTCCGTAGAGCGTTTACATTGTGTTTTAACATAAACCGGGTGACTTTTCGCGAGCCGGGTGACTTTTGACTAATGCTGCGTTTCCATGCGGCCGGGTGACTTTCTGCAAACCCGGGTGATGTATATAGTATATATATATATTACTATATATATATATAATATTGAGGTATGTTTTCTGTGTTTTTCCTATCCTGTTGTTTTCCAGGACCTCAGGACCGCATTTGAACACCTGTTCCTTGATGACAACGATGACAGGAAGATCTTTCTCATAGCACTTTGACCCCGGCTGAAAAAGCGCTGTTAGGGTCCAGAGGTGGGGGGAACAGTGTAGTGCATATCATATATGAGTAAACAAGTATATATTATCAGCACATTTATATTGTATACTATATATACATATAGCACACATATACTAAGATCTTTAGTCAATGAAACAGACATTGGGGGTTGTGCCATTGTATTGAAATCAATGTAAAATTCAGCCTGGGCCGAAAGATCCCAAACGTTCAACAAAAGGGTAAGAATAGTGCTTGTTTGTTTGGTATGTGTGTGTAGCGGGGGCTTCAAAGGTTCCCCATGGTTTGCGTTTGAGATGGTGCACCCCTCATAGGCCGAGTGTGCAACTCATCAAGGGCTTGGCCTCCAACCAATGCAGCCGGACATGGGCAGAGGCCGTGTGTCCAGCAAAGCGGTCCGGAAGCGAAGCGAAATCTAGATGTCGAACGGAATGGATATCGAATGGGTCAATGGGTCGCTCACAGCCCAGGGTATCAGCAGCGGCTTGAGCGCAGTTTTGTTGGCGAGGCCCTTCCAAACATGGGCCCTTTGGCTTCGGGACTGATGCTTTTGTCGCATCATCCTTCCGCTCTTGTTTCGGGATGGGAGGCCAGGAGCAATGACTTGGCGCTACAAAAGTGCAGCAGCGGATGCACAGGCCTGACATGTCAAGATGATGCACCGTGCCACGTGCCACGTGATTGTGAGGTTCTGGGGGCCAGGGAAAGTGCCAGGGAAGGGTGATTGGTCTCATGACTCTGGCATCGTCATGTCCGCGAGAAAGGGAGAGAGAGAGAGAGAGATAGAGATAGAGAGAGACAGACAGATGACAGATCGTGGAATGTAAAGGATCACGATCAAGGGTGCACATGCTGTCCACACCCACCGAAGGGATCTTCAAGCTGGTTCATATCAGTTCACTCAAATTGACCACCGAATTGGATCATGTCGCAAACTTCTCCATCCAAGCCATCAACAAAGGAACCTGTTTTGCTGTCGTGTGGCTTGTCGGGCACTTCCTTTGTCCGTTTCGCGTGGCTGTGAGCCGCCGAGCAGAACGACTTCACGGAAGACAGCACCAGAACGCCGAAAAAGAACGGAATGAAACCATTGATCAAACAATCAAAGGCAAAGAAGATCATCGCCGCAATAATTAGATGTGATAGAATAGAACTAATGATATAGAACTGAGCAGTTTTTACACTGAAAGCAACGGAGAGCTGCTGAGCCCAATAAGTTAACCAATATATAAGTAAACCAATATATTACCCAGTCATATGTGCCTACATCGATCCCCCAATCCACCCCAATGTATGCAAATATGTCATGTATGAAGTGTTTGGGTTATATACTGCAACAGTAGGTCTGGTCGCACCACAAACAGGAGCCTGAGCCAATGAAGTTAATTGGTCCAGTCCACCTGGATGCCAGAAAGAGAAGCCTGGATCAATGCAGCTATAGTTTGTCAGTGCTTTTAACCAGAGGACCATCCTTACAGTGGCACTTGGATCCAACCCGCGCAGGATCCAGCCGGATTGAGGATGGAAAGGCTATGTGTGACGCTGAGTGCTTTACAGGCGTCAAGGGCATCGGATGTGCTCCACGGTCCTGTCGCGCTTTCCTGTCGCTGACCAGATCATGCATGTCCTGTCGGTTGTTGTTCATGTTTCCTCCAACATGAGATGAGAGAGAGAGGGAAACATGCAACTGTTTAATTTTTGTTTGCTTTTGTGGTGGGAAATTCTACAATTAAATATGTCTCAGGCTTGAACTTGGCTCATGCACGTGCACACCGTAGATGAGGTTTTACATCAATTGAGGAGTTAAGGTAGGACGTTTGAGATCAACCTGCCGCTTTGGTTCTCCAGCACTTGCTTTCTGTCAGATGCTGCTTTGCACCAAAGCCAACCAACTTCACTACTCTGAGCTTTGCAAGTCGAAAGCTCATGAAAGCGGTACATGCACATAGCCCAAGATTCCATTCACTCTGGAAGAGAAAAAATGCACAAAAACAATAGAGAAAAGACAGCGTCACACCGAACCGCGGCTTTTTCCCATGATGCCGCGGAACCGATGCCGCGTTCTGCGCACGCTGCTCGCGCTCGCACTGTTTGGCGCACTGGGGCCTGTGGCCTTCAGCATGGCGGGTGCGCTCGGCACCCGGACGCGCGGGTCGCGCGCCGGGCGTCGCTTGGACCGGTGTGTGCGGCATTTTTGGCCTTTCGGGCAGGAGCAGGCGCGGTGGTTTCGCGATTGGAGCTGGGCGCGTTTGGAGCTGGGCGGAGATGGTAACGCTTTTGAGGCAAGATTATTGAGAGAAATGACAATTAGCTGGGCGCACACACATTTTTTGCATAGACTTGGATGAAGCATTTGGATGCATTTGGTTCCTATAGCATGCGAATAGGAAACCGATTCCATATTTGGGCCAATCAGGGGAGTGACTTGAACAAGCCATGTGTGGGCTGCGACAGTGACTCTGAACCCTGGAGGTCCTGGAGGTCATAAGCAATCGCCGTCACAAGAATACACATTACAAATCATAACACTACGCACTGTAAAGGGAATTGCTGAGGAAATTGGGTGGAGGAGCAACACGTCATTGCATACACATTGTCGAGTATGCAAACCACAGATGTGATATATTTGACCATTTCCTTGTTGCCTTTGTTTATATGGATGGTGCCCTGTATTTCATCCACTTGCAGAAGACTGTAGAATGTCACAAGGTAGTTTTTGTGCATGTAATTTTGCTCTGGACATCGTAACCTTTGCCTTATTATGATGTATCACGGAAGTTGTGCATTTGGAGGTTATGATGGAAGTATATAAGGAGCAGATCAGATCTGATCATGCAGCCATGCAGGCACGCTCACAGAGTGTGAGCCTTGTAAAACACCGCAGCTTGTGAAGTTCTTAGAAGCCAGGACTCATTTTTGGAACTGAACAGATCATCACAGTTTGCCCTCGCGCCCGAACAATCCATTTTCTGTTTCGCTGTTTCTTTTGACGGCACAATCTTCGGAAGATTTGCAATCTGCAACTCGTGTTTTCGAGGTGTCAACTCGTCAACGCCGTGAGTGCTTTGCATCAAAACACTTCACTTCTAAGTCGACCTTTAATGATTTTGGGACATTTTGGGGTTGAAACAAAGCTGCACCAGGAGCACCCTTTTGGGAGCTCTTCCGTCGTGCTGGAGCACGACGGTGCTGTTTCAGGTGCCTCCTTCCCACCCATCGTCCATTTTTCCCCTGACCAGTCGCGTGAGGTGAGCGAAAAGCTGAAGAGCCGCTTCGAGTCCTATGCGGAGGGCGAGGGCGCAGAGATGCGGCTGAAGCGGGAGAACCTGCGCAGCGTCCTGGAGCCTTGGGAAGAAGTGGCCCAAGCACCGAGCTAGCAGCGATGCACATGTTACTATAGTAGCTTCTTGCTACTAGTAGTGTTATTTTGTTTGTTTTGGAGGCGGGGTTGACACAGAAATAGGCTAATTTAATGGGAAATGGGATTTGGGAGGAGGACAGAGGAGAACGTCAGTGGCACAGGAGGGGACAATGATGGACAAAGAAAAGGTTCCACTTTGGCCGGGCCCCTTGTTTTGTACATGTTTCTTCTGCTGGTCAGTGGGTGTGTTTTTCTTCTGCCATCATAGCACATACAGCACGTTGGTGGACCGATTGAGGCCGATGCTTTCTTCCTAGATCTAGACATGCCAGGACCCACCATCTTCGAGGGGGTTGGATTGAATGGGATTGGGGAAGCCCTGCTGAAAATGTGGTTTGAGGTGAACGATTGTTTTCAATGTATATACTTGGGCCACTTGAGAAAAGGAAAAGACTAGACTAGACATTGACTAAAATTTGTTGTCCATGGTGCAATGCACGGCAATGCATGCATTCAGTGGCGAAGGCATTACGGTGACAAGAGGGGACCATGTTCTGCTACTTAGGTGAACCAACCCATGCTACAGCACCCCATCACACTTTGGACGCTGGTAACACTGTGTGACGGGCACTGTGTGACACACCCTGGCCAGGAATGCACGGAGAGTTTTTGTTTGTCGAAGCATTGGTTAGCTGAGAGCACCTTGGATCGGATCTATGAGCAGTATGCCACCAGCGATGGCATTGGCCTCAAGGAGTTCGGGCGTTTGGCGCATGAGCCATGGCCGGACCTAGGGTGGAAAACCACACATTGGCGCCGTCCTCATGAATCCTCCAAGTTTTCAGGTGGTTGGTCTTGGAAACGCCATTTTTTGCAGGGCAGCTGTGAATGTTCACTCCAGAGGCACCATAGCACAACCCTTCATAAGTGTCAAGTGGCCTCACTCGAGCAAACTGACTGATGCCGCTGACGTCGCGCACCGATGCGTTTTGCTTGGACTGTGATGCCCCTGATGCCCCTGATAAGTGCAACCATGCATCCCTGTACCGGGTGGGTCATTGGCCCACCTCCCCATGTTTCTGGCGTGCGAAGTGAAGAAGCTGCCGATTCGCCGCTGGGGTGTTGGCTTTGGCATTGAGCTGAGGATGGCTTCTTGTTAGAAGGCAAGATCGAAGAATATGAGAAGGCCTTCACTGGCGTAGATACCGAAGAGAAGGGAGTGATTTCCAAGGAAGCTTTAGGACCGCGGGGTGGATACGGCGGGTCTTGTTTGTGGTTTGCCATGTCCTGATTTGGAAAGAACTGCTTCTTAAGTGCAATGTAATATGTCAGGTGGGACTGTGACACACGATAGCAACCCAATCTGTAATTGCATTTGTTCTTGTTCTTGGCTTTGCTTGATCTCTGGGGGTGCACTGGAAGAGTGACAGATTTTGACATTCAGCGTGCAACAGGGTGCGGGCCAGGTCTACAATCATTGTGTTCGGGAGGGGACAATTTTGTAGCATTGGAAATTGGTGAATTTAACTCTGGAATAGGAGCTACAGTAGCTACAGGCAAAGTTGCCAGACACAGGGCCGATCAATTGCAGAATATTGCAGAACGGACATGGATGCGGGTCACAGGTGGAGGCAACGTATAGACTGTATACTGTATAGATGTAACTATATTATAAAGTATAGTCTATTATATATATATGACTCGACCATTCAACTACTATCATTGTATAAATCTAATAATGTATACATCAAGGGGCTAGTTAAGGGGCTCCAAATCGGTGGATGGAGGTTTTTTGGAAGGTCCGATCTAATTGCTTTGTCAGGATATGGTTGGAGCCCTAGGGAGCACATCGCTGTCACACCATGCAAAACTATTCTTTAGATCCCACGTTTAGGGCTTGTCACCTTTCATTGCACAGTTGGCTGATGTTCTTTTTTCCATCTCAGCAATATATGGTGAAATACTTTCTTAAGACGCTTTTGATCTCGGACATCCACCTCATGCGTTCACCGTGGCCACCGTCGCCACCGTCATTCCTCCATCCCTCCTCCTTTTCTCCCCGGCCATTGGCTTCGGCCGACGGCCCATCGTCTTCGCACCGAAGCGCCGTCCGCGGCAGGACGGCTCTTCGAGGGTCTGGGGAAGTCGCTGAGTAGCGAGGAGCTCACCCGACTCGTGGACGAGGAGACCGGCGCATGACTGCGGTCACACCGGGAGGACGGTGGGAGCATGAAAGTAGTGAGAATTTCCGAGCTGAACCCTAGGATCAGTAGTGTTTCTTTACTATCCACTTCAACAGAGAAGATCACCTATAAGTTCTCCAGATTTGTAGAGGACCCCGGACCCTGGGGGCCCTTGGCTAACTTCAATGGCAAGATGAGAGTCCCAAGTGGTCAATGTCCACAAACTAAGATTTCTAGCAACTATATACGTCTATATACTATATGGCGTACTATGGCCACATATATTCACATATATATATATATATCCGAACATATTTGCATTTACACATGAAAGCAGATGAACAGAATCTTATGTGATGCAGTACGCCAACTGGTTTGTTCCTTGGTTCACATGTTGGTTCACTTAAAATACGACAGTATGTATCATTCCATCAATCCTTCCATGCTTGGTATGGTTTCCCCACTTTCAGTTTAAGTCTTTTGTCCCTCAAAAAGGAGCACCCTTCGCTCGCGTCCTCTCGCCAGGCCGACGTGGACCATGACGGTATCGACTTCGCGGACTTCTTGGGCCTGGCGCGAACGCAGCTGGATCTCGCCGAGGTCATCAGGCGCGGTTCGAACGGAAGCCAAGCCGAGCGGCGTTGCGGAAGTTTCCACACCAAGCGTGCCGGGAGCTGGTTGCGAACTGGGGCGAAACATGTTGCAAAATGTATGTTTGGTCGATGATCTGTGAGTGATCTACAATGAAATGGTAGAAATCCAACAGAGCTGGTGAACTATAACTATATGGTATTGAGAACCCCCCCTTCAACCTCGACCAGTACTAAGGGAGAAGTGAGTTTGTGCACCATCCACTCTTCAAAGTGATATGCAGATTAGCAAGCCAGAGATGCAGGGCAATCCTATGGATTCGCTGGAGTCGTGAACGTCCGGATTCGCTGGAGTCATCCGATCAGGTTTCAGTGTTTTCCACGCTGTTTGTTCTTTTTTTGGGGGGTCCGCCTGTCTGTTTGTTTGTTTGTGTGTGAAACATGGGGCGCTATAGTAGGCAACCCAGACTAGAGCTTTGTCTCGAAATGAGGGGAAATCTGCCGGAGACCAGCACAAAAGCAGTGAAACAATTGTGGGATGCTTTAAATGATGGGGTCCTATCCTACCATTCTTGGCATAGGGGTTTACAACTACAACCTTGGCATACTGCTATAAACCTCAACCATGTCTTTGGACTCCATCTCATTCCAAATGAGCCCTCCAAACCGTCCAAATGAAAAAGACACTCCTGACGCCGACGCACCACACGTGGCCGCACCACTGCGCCAGATACCTGGAGACGACTCCCGAGCGGCCCTCAGAGCATGAGGGCGAAACCGACAGCGCCTTGGGGCACATGAACACCGTGCACAGTGAGGCGGAGCTTTATGCGATGATTGGCCAAGAGGACGGATAGTGATGGGGGGCCGTCACATCATATACACTCTGGCAGTCTGGAAGATTAACGTGGAACCTGAAAACCACTGGTTTGTAGAGGAAGATAGTCTTCCAAAGGTCAACTTTCAGGTTCCATGTTAATTTTCCCGGGTATTTATGCCGTGCTTTGGAAGATATCAACCTTTGGAGCCGTGAAAGTGATGGCTGCTTATATGCTGATGGAAAAAATGCACCACCTGGAGGCCGCAACTCACCAGACATAAATGTTCGAAATGTTGTTTTGTGCCCAAACTCAGAATATGCAAGGATGGTTCCCCTTTGTTCCCCTAACCGCAGAATAATGTCCGTATGGATGAACATGTTCGCAGGTGAACATGTTATATAACATTTTTTGGATTTGTTTTCACAGTGGTTTGGACATATATGCATCAATAATAGTTCCAGAAAAAGCTAAACAGACGAGCTTCATGAAATCCATCGAGAAAAAAGACAACAACTTCATTTCCATATTTGCTGAGAACGTTTTGTTTCAACGACTTGCGCTCCAGGACGCCGTGGTGAAGTTGGCCTTTACCTGGTGCCGACCCTGCAAGGCCTTTCTGCCCAGGTGTGGTGCTGTGCAGGGAGCGAGCGTAGGTGGAATTGATGCGGGGATGGAGTGCCCATGTGATGAGGTGGAGTGTATAAGTTGGCATGTTTTGGGGGGAGAGAGGGAGAGAGAGAGCTTGGTAGTCCAGAGTTGGCAGCCTCACAAAGGTGATTGGCGCCTGGCATCAAGTGGCATGGAAAGGACGGATCTCTCATGGTTTATATATTTCTATTTCAATTCGAATGATTAGGACCAGATCAGAATCGACTAGAAAAAAATTGTGTCCCTAAATGAGGGTTCAGAATCGACCAGGTATCTATCAGATCATGTTTCTATTTGGGCATGTTCAAGTCCCTCGATTTCGAGATGCACCCATCATCGTATGATATCGCATGCATGCATTTATGCAAGGCCCACCAGGAAATGGACCCTCAGACTTTGGGGTTTTCCGAAACGTGTTCAGGTATGAGAAGTTCGCCAAGATCTATGAGAAGACACGGTTCCTGAAGATCGTGGGGAATGAGAACGAATCCTGCAAACACTATGCCAAGGAAGTCCTCCACGCCAAGATCTCTCCCATGTTCGCCGTGTACCGTCAGGGGTCGCTTGAGCGTTCACGACCGATGGACGACCGGGTCGTTCGTATGGTCAATGCGCAAAGGTCATAGAGTAAGATGGCGGCCAGATGGAGTTCCAAAGGGAAAGGATAAAGACACGCATCACAACCAAATTTCGAGGGTTGTAACCTGGTGGATTCTGGCGCGTGGACGCATGTCGAGAGAGCTGCACCCGATGGATCGAAACGTCGAAGTCGTTGAGCCCAAAACGGCTCTGGGAAGATATCATCTTGGAAACTCCTCATCGTCCAGGTGGGTTTCTATGAACCTCTAGAGGTTTTAGATTCATGGTAAAATGTTCAATATTCATATTAGAGTGGGTTTAGGTTGTCATTAAATCTTTGCTTGTCCTGTGAATATGACAGGTCGTCAGTACAACACTCCAGGAATCAATGGAAGGGTTTCTGTCTCCACCTTTTCAGCTACCACCTCTTGGGGAAAGAATAATTTGGACTGTCCCTTCTTGTTTGTCCTGTGTGAAGTTGATTGAACAACTACACTTCTGGATCTCGAGCTCGACATTTGCTCGCTCCCCTTTCTCTCCCCTCTTCCAATTTCCCAGGAAATTGGTGAAGACCTGGCATGGCGCCAACAACGGGCGCTTTGTGTCCAACCTCGAAGGGCAGCTCCCCACCGCCCGGGAATACGCCAAGGACACGCGGCGAGAGCGGAGTGGCGGCGCGGATATGGCGGCGTGCCCACGCGGAGTGTGAGCCAGGGAAGTTTCGTATGTGTTTCACACAGTTCACAGTTAACAGTTACCTTTATCACGGGGGGGTCTGATCTGTTCGAGCAGTGTGCTGAAGGAATTCCGACTTTACTCGACAGGAGTTTCCTAAATTACCCTCCCTCCAGGAATCATGAAAGCTGACCAGCCTACGTTCCACTTCCATGATTTCCAGGAAGTGTCAATGCTGTTTTTAACGTTGTGTTGATGCCGTCCCGCCCCTCTGCAATTCCAACCGTTGGCTCTTCCACTACTGAGCCTCGCCTCATTCTGGATCAGCACCACCCGCTTCTGTAGTGAAGTGATTAATACACCCCCCAGGCCTGAAGAGGATGTTCAATTCAAGTTGGCGCCAGGGTTATTTATCAAGAGTCTACCCCAGAAACTCCATGTATGCTATATGAGCAACCGCCAAAACGTCCAATGACCAATTTAGTAAAGAGTGGTCGTGAATTTCAGGAAGTGGGCCCAAACCTGCAAAAGCGATAGGTCCCCCTCAAAAGTGATAACCTTGTCAAAGCATCACATGTCTTCATGTGTATATGGGATGATATGGGCACATAGCCATTTTGGCTGTCAGGCCTCGCCATTCATCTTTGAGTCATGTCCCTGGTGCCAAAGCTCTGCCTGTCTCATGCTTGGTTTCTGTTTTGTCACAGCAGCCACCTTTCGCCTGCCCCAGCATGGACAAGGGGTTATGAGAAGCCAACGGATTAGCCCACCAGTTCTATTTCTCACATACGCACATGTCCGCGCACATGGCACAGATACACAGGCACTCAGTGGTTCCATGGAAGTGATATCCATGCACGATCAGTAAATGTAGCTAGAACTTGGAAAAGCGATAGGACCCCTCCAAAAGCGATAACTCCACTTTTCATTACATATACATCAGTTGGAGGTTTTTGACCGACGCACATATATGCCTACTTGACCCCCAAACCGCCCCAATGTAAGCAATATATAGCACACATGGAGTCACATGGAGTGTTTGGGTACTATTTTCGGGTATGCTCTCGACCGCCCTTTTCGACCGATCCGATCGATGGTCGAACCAACTCGACAGACGATCACTCTCCCAGCCTGGACCAATGGACCACAACAGATTGCAACCCATACTCCTTTGAATCACTGGCCCAAAGGGGCCAAAACAACGTAAGGCTGGTAAGGACGGTAAGGTGCGTTTACATGATTGTATGGTGGTGTCCCACACCATGTTTGGGGCTACCAGTTTTTATTTGGGTCTATCAATGCCGTACCGCTGCGTACCGCTCCACGGCTGTACCAAATTGCTTAAACACCTTGAACCTCCATGTTTGGAGGGTGTGTTGGTTTCTCATTTGAGGAGCGTGAAGCGGCTCAAAAGAAGGATGACACCCTCGCAGCTACCTGAGGGGCTGATGAGCTGATGCATTGACGTGAATGTTTGTAAACCCAAAGTCATGGAGGCCCTACACATAGACAATGTTACACTCTTAAGCGCCAAAGTCATACTGTAGATTGCCAATGAGCATTTGTAAACCGAAAGCGTGTGTATAGCTGGAAGTTAACCTTGACTTTTTCGTTATGTTTTTGATGGGACAAGGAGTGCTCATATATACATCCGCAGGATTGATTTGGAAAACGCATCGTTACAGTTTTATGGTGGAATATTCTCGCAAAGAGCTGTTACATCTATATCTTTCGGACATATTCCATACTGTATATACATGCAACAGTTTGGTTGAACCAAGACTGCAACATGTCTCAATAAGCCGCTTCTCAGCCTCATCATCCAGAAACGGCAAAGAGATCAGAGGTGTAAGAGTGGGTGTTCATCAAAGCCTATTTCACTTGCTGCAGACTTACTGAAGCCATCGCCGCTTGACTGTTCTTTACGCTTTGCTCATTTTTACTCCATCACGGACTCTTAGTTTTGTTTCCGCATGTTTCCGCATGTCTTCCATGCAAAAAATAATCGAACATCAATTGCCGCCCGGGCCCCTTCAATTTTGAGACATTCCGTTCGACAATTGGTCGTTGAGGCATCCAAACCATCCTTTTCCAAGGACGACCGTGGATTTCGATGACGTTGCTAGGATCTCTTTAGCGAGCCATCCCCAAAGCAGGACCTCTCAAGTGATGTGCAAGGAATTTCCTGGAATCAGGCACCTATTGCAGCAGATCTCTTTGGGGAAGGCTAAGCAAACTCAGACTATACGTTTCATGAGTTGGCAGGATTGCAGCGTTGCATCAGCCAAAAGTCTTTTGCCGGGTGCAGCTGGGGTTTCAAGCAAATCCTTGTCCAGATGCCCTATGTTGGATCGCGTTCAAGTGGAGTACGACGGTTGTCCAGCAGGGACAAGGAAGCAGATGGCACTCACTGATTTCCCACAAATAGCCTATTTGATCCTGTTTGGGTACTACCATGTAACGTAAGCTTTGCCAAGCTTTGCTTTCAGACATGCTGAGCTAGAGTATGCTAGAGTTAAGCATGTTTGATCAACATTGATCAACCAGGATGCCACACAAGATCACACCAGCCGTTTGCATGTTCAATGACTGACTCACCACCTGCGACTCCCCCAGTGCTTCCGGTCGTCCGAGTCCATCACGTCCGCATCTCTGGGTGTTTTGCCTGTGAAGAATCACATCTCATCATATGTCCAACAGTATCAGGTTGAACGGTGGTGTGTCTCAGCGGAATTCTTAAGTGGCATGGTCGTGATCCTTTTTCATGCGATGTTCCTCGAGATGTTGATGTCTCAAGTTGTTCCTGGGAGAATTTGCTCTAGGATGATCATCAAGTCTGAGTAGTACGACCAGAAATGTAAACAACATGTAGTATACTGCCGTGCAGAGTTCTTGGAAGCCCTCAACTGGTTAGGTACAACCACACATAATGACACATGCCTGTCCGAGGCCATGTCCACATGTGCCAAAATGCCTCCATGTTCCAGGGGTGCACACTTCATGGTTGCACCAAAGAGGTGCAGGTGTAGCCTTTGGTATGCCTTTGGTTCTTCTGGCCCGTGGGCAGGGAGCGCGAGTGAGCTGGAGAGCCGTGGCTTTTCCAGCTGCAAGAACGCTCCTCCAGGGGAAGTGCTCACGGCAGGCGGGCGCACCATGGAATCCATGATTGGTCATGTGAGGTTCCGCTGGTCATTGATGGTTGGTGGTTCTTCATTGTGTAAGGGTGTTGGATGGTGTCGAAAAACCTCCCTCCCTCGGCGCACCCCGGCATGTCGCTGTATGGTCCCTAGAGATGTCCCTTTAAAAAAGAAGTCTAACCAAAAGACATCAAAGACGATCGTTTTGGATCGTTTTGGGCTCTAGGATGCACACAAATGTACTCGCGCATGTTTATACATATCACACCCACAACCTGGGAGTTGTCCGGCTTCTTCACCTCGCACAACCTTTGGAGAAGAAAAAATAACTGGAAAAAAGAGGTACAGCTGAAGGTTGATGGATGAGATTCGATTCGTCGATTCGGACCTTTTTGGTCCGCGAAGGACCTGAGAAGTGGGCCGATGACTTGCTGGCCTCTGCGGCAGACTTAGGTGCCTGCCAGGTGGGTTCACCCATCGATTTGCAGCTATGGACGCCTAGAGACCGATTTGTTGGAAGACGAGACAACTTACGGAAGCGGAGGACCCATTGACGGAAGTCTTTAAGGAGATATGTGGCTGAAGGAATTGTTCAACGTCTCCTGTGATGCGAATGGAGCAATTGGAATTGGAGTCAACGGCATGAACGACTGGAAAAACTGCCAGTTTGCTTTCATTTTCTTCATGACCAGACAATATTTTTGACCAGAGTGCTTCGGCCTCATCATCTTCGTTATTTCACCATCTGACCATAGTTAGCCGACTCTCGCCCGACAGGAAGACTTCATGGGCGACCCTTGCATCCAGTCTCTCTTGAATTTGTTTCTTGTCGTCAGAAGCTCTATTTAGGGGTACCGTTTGCTGGGTTTGCGGGTGGGAGTCAGAATGAGTTTGAACAGTTGGTGGCATATGTTTGGCAAGTGATGTCAACAACTTGTGAGCCAGCACCAGTACCGCTCAGCCGTGACAAAGCTGAGATCACGTGGGAAATGGCGCATTGGAGTTGGAGAGTGGGGGAAAGGAAAACACATGGAAAAGGAGCTTGTTGTGGGAATTGTTGTTAAGGATGTTGTGCAATTGGGGTGGTAGCTTTTCAGAGATCAAAACAGCACTTACAGCGCTGTATTGAACATCAAACTTTCCGCTCAAGAGGGAGGTCTTGTGATCTTAATGACGAGAGAGAGAGAGAGAGCGCTTCGTTACTTGGCTTTGGTGTCAATCATCTACTATAGTCGCTTTCCAAAACCCCAGTGGTAGAGGAACATGACGTCTTGTGACTGATAGTGTTAGCAGCTAGCATCCTTAACCTTGATCACTGTTGCTAGCTCTTTCCCATTGTGCATATACAATGTATATATAATATACTATAGACTAAGTGTTGTTTCACGCTAGGATGTCGAATACATGTCTCACTTACCTACCGTTTGGCTCAAGGAAAACCAGGTGCGACTTGTTGGTAGTTCTCGGTCGTTTACCTGTAACTACAGGTTATCAGCCGTATCGCCATAAGTGCGGTACGTGCTTTCTACTAGCTGTGGTCTCACCCCACCATAGGTAGTGCACTATCTAGAGGCCATGGCTGATGATGATGGTTCCCGTGGTGGCCGCTCACGCTCAGGCTACGTTCCTACTTCGCCTGCGATGTCCAGTTCACCTGCTACTGATCTCCCTGTCGTTCCGCTGGAGTTGCGTGTACCAATTGGGCCACCGACGTTCAGTGCACAGGGGGACCTGTTGCCTAGTGGTCAAGCCCCGTCGCCGTTTCAACCTGAGTTTTCTCCTGTGATGAATGTCCAGAACGTTGATGCAAGACAGATCCATCAACAAGCAGTCTTCGTCAATGAGGACAGGTCAGCTCAGGTAGCTCAGATCGCGGAGTTGCGGCATCAGGCCATTTTGGCCGAACACGGGCAACAAGTAGCAGAGGATGCTAGGCATTTTAGAGACTTAGTGGAGAACCAAGCTAAAGTGGCTGTCCAGGAGTCTAGGGAACAAATTGAGGCTTTAGCCAATCAACGATTGAGTGACATGAACCAAGCCCATCAAAATCAACATCTTCATGAACAACGGGCTTACCTAGATCGCCTTTCGCTCGAACGACACGCCGTCGTTGAGAACGAACGCGCCTCTGCCAAGCAAAGAGAGGATGCACTTCGGTCAGAGTTAGCAGAACAGAGTCGAATCATCAAGGAGTTGAGAGAGAGGTTTGACAACGCCTCGGGGAACCGAGCGCCTGCACCATCAATGCAGCCACTTGGGTCTCAGGTGTCCCCAGCTTTGCCTCCAGCGAGCCTTCGCACTCAGTTGGAGAAGCCCGGGATCGAAGGCGGTGATGAGCCTCATCCATCCGATGCCGATGAAGAGGGTGGTGACAAATCAAAGAAAGACAAGAAGAAGAAGGGTAAGGATAAGAAGAAAGAGAAGAGCCCTAAGAGGGGCCGTTCGAGGGAGCGCAGAAAGAAACGCTCTCCTTCCCCATCACCCTCGTCACCCAGTTCATCAGGAGGGAGTGATGACTCAAATGACTCAAGCTCTGAATCATCGCGTCTTGCACGCATCATTCGCAAAGAGCTGAAGAAGCAGCAAAGGAAGTCGAAAGACAAGGATCATGAGAGTAAAGCCAAAGAGGCTGACAAAATTCTCATTCCCAAGTTCCCCACACCTGAGAAGTACAGAGACTGGAAGATCAAGGTGAGGGACAATATTGCTGCAGCTTCAGCGAAGCCGGATGAAGCGAGATCTTGGGTTGGGAAAGTATACAAAGATTCCCAAACCATTGATGCCTTGGATGATTCAGAGGGATTCGCAACCCTCGACGCAAAGCTTCTTGCAAGCTTAACCAATTGCGCTGAGGGGGACCTCGGTCGGCAGATTGCTACATTCAAGGAGTTGCGTGCTCATGAAGACAAGAACGTGAAGGGTAGGCACTTGCTCCTTCGGTTCCACGAGTATTTTGCCACAAGCATCAAGCATGGAGCAATCTACGGACTCGAAGACCTCATGTCCGTCAAAATGGTCAACGATGACCTCAAGGGCTTTATAAATAAATGGGATAGCGTTCTTGCCGGAATGAAAAAGGAACCAGAAAATAGTGTTCTGGAAGCCTATTTCCACCTGGCAGTGAAACGTTTCAAGCCACTTGAGCATGATTTGGCCTTGTACGACCGTGCAGCCGATGGAAGCAAAGAAAGAACGTACGACTTCCTGATCACTGCTGCCCGGGCCTACCTCGAACGGAGAAGGTTGGAAAAGATGCGCGACGCCACGAAGCGTTCGCTCGGGTCCAAAGACACAACCATGCCAGCTCCGGAGGAGAAGAAAGGCATCTGCTACGAGTTTCAAAAGACCGGAAAATGCAAGCGCGGATCATCATGTCCTTACAAGCACGAAAAAGGCCGCGAGAAAAGCAAAGGAAAGGGAAAGGGCAAGGATCGCAGCCAATCTCGGTCAAGATCGCTGACACCAGGATCTCGCAAGGAGACTTGCAAGTTTTGGAAGGCAGGACATTGCCACCGAGGAAAAGACTGCGCATTCCAACACCCTGAAAAGACTGTCCCTGCGAAGAAAGAGGACAAAAAGAAGAAGAAGAAAGACCAGAAACCTCGCAAGCGAAGCAGCTCACGAGGATCATCAGGCTCCGACAACTCAACTGGCTCTGAGAGTCAGAGGAGAAAAGGTGGGAAGTCTTCCTCTTCCAATGCACCGGCAGCGGTATGCCTCCTTCGAGCAGTGGTCATGGCCGCAGTGGTCTCTCAGGGATCCTCCGTCCTCATCACTCGCCCGCTGGGAAGCGTGGCCATGCCAGTCCTTTCCGCATCAAACACTATGTGCACCGATTTTGACAACACAGAAAACATTGACAATTTTGTTACGCAAAGAGTTCGTTTTGACGATCAACCAAACGTTTTCAATCATGCTGTTGAGTCTTCTTCCAGTTGGAGATCCGTTCAACCCCGGAGTAAGAAGAAACGAAGACCCTTTACACCAGGTCGTCCGGAGCATGCTGAGGCAGTTCGTGTCGCTACTGAG